CCAAACCCTCGAGGTCTCGCTCCGTTTCACAGCATCTTCTGCAATGCCAAGACAGCGAGTGCCCACCCACACCTCGCTGCTGGGGAAGGACGCCCTGCACACCTGCCAGGCCCCGTGTGCTGCAGGATCTGTGGGATCACACGCGTGTGAGCGAGCAGGCGTGCCCAAATGCCGGCACCGTTTGCCGAGAAGTCTCCTTAGAGACAGCCCAGGCATTAAATCCCCCAGGAAGTCTCAGTAGCTGGAGGATAATCGTGGCAGAGGCTCAGGGCCGGGGTGCTTGAACCTCTGCAGGGGTGTCGGAGCCCAGAGGCACCAGGCAGACGTGCTGCAAACCCTCCTGCCACCCCAAGGCACCCAAATGCCCACGGGCCAGCTCCAAACCCCACAGCCGGCATCCCACGGCTGGCAGCAGTCAGCGACGGATACCCCGGCAAGGAAAGGGCCCACCTCACGATCCGGGCCCCAGATCGTTTTAGGATGGCAGCTATCTCGGAGATAAGAAAGAAAAATCCACCCTGCAGCTGCAGGGGGAGGGAAGGAGAAACCACTTCCACTGCGAGAGCCGGGCCAGCCCTGTGCTGTGTGCTGCAGGGACACGGGGGGACTGGGCTGTCCCTGCCTGGCCCCACTGCCCCAAAACAGCTCCCCCAAAAACACAGCTCCCCCGATCAAACAGCCCCCCAAAAACACGGCTCCCCGATCAAACAGCCCCCCAAAAACACGACCCTCCCCCAAAACACGGCTCCCCCGATCAAACAGCCCCCCAAAAACACGGCTCTCCCCCAAAAACACGGCTCCCCCAGCCCAGGTAGCAGCGCAGGGAAGGGGGGACCAGCTCAGGTGCCAGCTCTAAAGCCTGGCAAGGACCTGCGGGTGGCACAAACACCCCAAAACACGTTCCCATCTCTGCCGGCTCCGTGTGCACTGGGCTGTGCAGGACCACAGCCCATCCGTGCAGCGGGGCCACCCCACTTCCCTTTCCTCTGTACCTGCTCTGCAGCGCTGTCCTGCTGCCCCAGCCCTGGACACGGCTCCAGCCCCAGGGCTGCGGTACCACGCACAAAAAACCCTCCGAAATCATGTTTCCAATTTCTGCAGCATTATATAATTAGCATCATTTGTGTTGCAAAAGTAATTGCAGTAACATTTTTAATTAGTCTATTTGAACACTAACATTTCTCCAGTGCGCATAATATGTTGACACGAAATTACTGGGTTTGAGGCAACTGGGAATGATTGGAGTTTGTTTTGCTTTTGTTTCTTACTTGTTGAATAGAGTCAACAAGAGCCCAGCCCGCAGCGTGGCTGAGCTCGGTGGAGAGCAAAGTGTGATGGGTTTCACTTCCGTCTGGGGGGAGGAAGGGTGGCTGCTGGAGGCTCTGAACAAGAGAGAAATACTTGCTTGAGAGGTAAGGTCGGGGTGACATTTCCCAGCTGCTCCGTTCTGGTCTCAGATGTTGACTGGTGAAAACACAAAACAGAATGAGAGCACTGGCCTTGGAGCACGGGGAGAGGAAAACCTGGAGGGAGGAATTCTGTGTGGTATAAAGTTTGGAAGGAGATCTAATCTGAAGAGTCTCTTTGCTTACTGAGTCACAAGCAGGGACAAGAAGTAAACATTCTCCCCAGAAAAGTTACTGCACGGCATCCAACCACACATTACCAAATTACACTTTTTTTTTTCTCCTTTCTCTTCAGGAAGAATCAAGATTCTCCTTTCCAAGATCTTTTCTACATTGTACACATGAAAGCAGCGACAGATGCAGGTTATTTTTCGCTCCCAAGTGTGAATCATGTTCCACTGCTCCTCACCTCTGCCCGGCCACAGCCAGGCTGAGCAAGCCCAGCTCTGAGAGCTCGTCCCCTCAGCACCCTGCCCCACACAGGGCCCACGGGTGCCTGGACAGCAGGACAATGCCCCCGGGGATGCCAAGGCAGGGGAAACCCGAGCAGGAAGGAGAAAGCTGCCGGTTCCCAGCAGCAGCACATTCCCAGAAGGCGATCAAGAACTTCACTCTTGAGAGCTTTGGGACCAGTTCCCTTTCCTTTACCATCCTCCAGCACTTCCCAGTGAGGAGAGCCAAGGCTCCCTCCCCAGGCTGCAGACAGCGAGGGGCTGCTCCTGCCAGCCCACTCCGGGGCTGCTGCTGTGCCCGGATCCCCAGCCCGGCAAGGGGAGAACGTGCACCCCCTTTCTCTCCGTGCACCCCCCTTTCTCTCCCTTCCTGAGAAGTTCCTGCTCCTTCCAGCTGCAGCAGGGCCAGAGAGCCCCTCTGTACCACGGGCTGAGAGAGCCAGGGGGCATCGAGCCTCCCTGGGCAGGAGTTCATCTTCCTGGCAGCTCCAGGGGCATCCTTCGGCTTCCAGCACCCACGAGATATTGATTTCTTTTTGTTCACCCGCCAGAAGCCGCCCTGCCCCTGGAGCGGCTGCACAGCCCTCCCCTGCCCACACCCAGGCACTTTCTGGCTCACCAGAGAGACGTTGGCCCAGGAAGTCTTCAGATGCGCACAAGGATAAGGAGGAGATGGTGCGCGAGGATAAGAAGCAGATTAGCAGGCAATTAAGTGGCATTTTGTGCTATCCATTAGTATTTCGAGCTGCGAAGAGTCAGTTTCTGCTAACTTCCTGCCAAAAGTCACAAGTAATGAGCTAATTAACAATCTAATTATTGCAAATGCCCTAGAAAGAAATCAGGGCACAGGTGAAAACCTACTTAAAGCGGGCACAGCAGCAGGAGCAGCTGGGAGCAGGCAGGCTGTGCCCCAGCTGCATTTCCAGCGTCCCGCGGCACAACGGGATGAAGCACTCGGGGAAGTGGCTGGAGTTGAATGGAAGCTGTGCTCGGTAAAGGGAGAGGCAGAGCCTCACTCCAGAGCTTCCTGCCAGCCCTGTGGGGCTGAAGAGCCCCAGCACAAAAGCCAGCCCTGGAATTTTCTGCCTCCCCGGCGATATTTGCCAAGTTCAGCAGCAGCTGCGGCGCAAACCCAAAGCCGGTGGTCCCTGCCCAGTCCGGCACAAGCACGGCTCCCCTGGCACAGCTGGAGCGGGGCAGTGCCAGCCCCGGCGCCCCCGGTGCTGCCTCCCACCGGGACGAGCCCCGGGGCGGATGGCAGTGGCAGAGACCTCCGTGCTGCCTTCCCGAGCAGGGCGGCACTGCCCTCCAGCCCGGGCACAGCCGGGCTGCCCTCGCCGCGATGGGCATCGCCCCACGGCAGCACCTTCACCTGGGCAGCCCAGCACCTCAGGGCGGGCTCTGGGAAAAGCCAGACATCACCGAGTTTAGGAAGGTAAAGACCGGGCTGGCGTGCAGAGCGCAGCCCGCAGGGTTCCCTGCTGCGCTGCCAGCATTCCCCGCGGCACACGCGCGTCTGTAGCTCCAGGGTGACCCGCACGGGGGGTTCTGAAGGCAGAAAGGGACGTCACAGGGCTGTCACACACCCCTGGGGGTGGCACTGAGAGCCTGGCAGCGCTGCTGCTCTCACTGCAGCTCACAGGGCTCCTGCCCCGCGAGCCGGGGCTGCGCTGCTCCGCCACCCTGAGCCCAGCTCCACCGGCTCACCTGCTGCCCTCGCACCGAGGGCTGATTTAACCCTGCCTGAAAACACCTGAGGAAAAGCCTTGACGCAGGAGCACAGCCTCAGGTTCGGATAACAGCTCCTGACAGCTGGGAGAGGCTTGGAAAGGCGCCAGTTCCCGACGCTGGATGCTCTGGGTAGAGCCGAGCAGGGCTCTGGAAATAATGCAGGCAAACCCTGCCGGGGCAGCAACGCGGTCCCCACGACACACTCCCGATTTCACAGACATGCTGTTTGCACAAACACACCTCACTGTGAGGAAAGGCAGGAATTCACAGCCAAGAAAGCCTGCCAAGACCCAAACCAGAGATCTGAGGTGCACAAAATTCCTCTCAGCAACGTGACTGAACTGCCCATGTGTGAAACCTCAGGTACCAGGGGAAGCTGTGACCTTGAGAAACAGCCCTAGGATACATTTTCCTCTCCATATCCACTTTCCTCTGCCTGCCAACAGCTGTCCAGGCCTTCAGGCTGGGGTCTGGGAGGCGGCAGGGAGATGGCTTTGGTATTTTAAGGTTTTATGCGTGTGGCAAGTGTTAAGGATGAGTAGCGGCATCATTTCCACTGGATCAGCCTCACGCTGCTCGTACAGGCAGCTGGAGGGATGCTCCCGAGACCCAGAGCCACCCCAGCACCTCACCCCGAGGGTGCCCCTCCAAAACCCCAGGACAGCTGCGAAGAGGAGCCTTTCAGAGCTCTAAAGCACGTTTGTTTTCATGCCAAATACCTCAGCTTGGGAGTCAGCCACCCGCCAAAATAAAGCTCTGTCCCAAATATTCACAAAAGCAGAATTTTGCTGCCAGCAGCTGCGAGCACCAGCCCCGTTTGAAGCCCACACAGGTGGGACCCACAGGCCAGGGCAAGCAGGAGCAGCCCCAGCTGGGCTGGCTACAACAGCAACCAGATAACGCCTGGGTAATCCAGCCGAATTTCCCGGGGGGACATCCCGAACCCCTGAAGAGCCTCTCCAGAATCCCAGCATTAGCAGAACAAAGAATTACGGTCATAGTAACCCGGCTACTGCAACATATTTGATTATAAAGCCTCGTTTTTTTCCCCAGCAACACAACTGAGCCATTCAAGCCCTCGCCGGCTGCGCAGTTCCAGGCGCGGAGCAGCCCTCGCCCAGCCCGTTCGCCAGGCAAACACATGTTTTGGTGCTAAGTACATTAAAAACAAACTCCCCTCGGCCTTTTTCGGGGGATTTAGCTGAAGTCCCGGGCGCTTATCTCTGCTAACGAGACCCGACCGGCTTAAAGGCACCGACTATTGCTGGGTTGATTAAAAAAATGACTAAGCTGCTTCCCGGTGCGGCGGGGATGCTCGGGGCCGGCGCGGCGGGGATGCCGCCCGCAGGGGATGCGGGGCCGGTCCCGGGGGAGTGCGGCCCCCTCAGCCCCCCGGCAGCGCCACACTCACCTTGACACTGGAAGCCCTGCTTGCCGAAGCCCCTGCGGAGAGAGAGGCGGAGTGAGACACCGGCCCCGGTCCCGCGGCGCAGCCACCCCGCCCGGGGCCGGCGGCCGGAGCGGGGCGGGCACCGGGGCGACCGCCATGGGACGCGGGGGACGGGGGGAGCCGGCACGGGAGGAGAGGAGAGGAGAGGAGAGGAGAGGAGAGGAGAGGAGAGGAGAGGAGAGGAGAGGAGAGTGGGGCCCGGAGGATGGCGAGCCCGAGGAGGGACGTCCCGCCGAGCCGGCGGCCCGGGGAGAGGCTCACCAGATGAAGTCGGTGCAGTGGCTGCAGAAGGTGGGCTGCTTGAAGAACCGCGCCGTGAACTTGTGGTTCTTCACCTCGTGCACGTTCTTCTGCCGCAGGGCGCCCTTGCGGGCGAAGCGCACCGGGCCCTCCTCGCCCTCGGGGGCCGGCGCTGCCGCGGGCGGCTCGGCCATGCTGCGGGGGCTGCGGGCCCGGCCCGGCCCGCTCCGCTGCTCCGCCGGGGCCGCCGCTCCGCCGCCGCTCGGGCTGCGCTCGGGGCCGCTGCCCGCAGCTGGCGGGAGGCTCCGACAGCGCCCGCGGGCCACGCCCCCTCATTTACATGCGGCAGCCCCGCCCTCATCTGCATCGCCGGCCACGCCCCCGGCGTCTCGCGGCACCGCAGGCTCCGCCCCCCGCGCGCCTCCACACGGCCGCGCCCTCCCCCGATTTGCATGTTGATTTGCATGTTGATTTGCATGTTGATTTGCATGGGAACCTGTCCCGCTCTTCATTTGCATAGAGCGGCTGCATCCCGCGGGAATGCGCGGGGACCACCGGGCACGGGCAGGGATGGGCGCCGGGCACAGGCAGGGATGGACACTGGGAATGGGAGGGATGGACACCGGGAATGGGCAGGGATGGACACAGGGAATGGGCAGGGATGGACACCGGGAATGGGCAGGGATGGACACCGGGCACAGGCAGGGATGGACACCAGGAACGGGCAGGGATGGGCGCCGGGAATGGGCAGGGATGGACACCGGGAATGGGCAGGGATGGACACCAGGAACGGGCAGGGATGGACACCGGGCACAGGCAGGGATGGACACTGGGAATGGCAGGGATGGACACTGGGAACGGGATGGGATGGGATGGGATGGGATGGGATGGGATGGACACCGGGAATGGGCTGGGGACACTGGGCACGGGCAGGGACAGACCCCGGCCAGCAGCCCATGTGGGGCAGGGCTCTGGGCAGGGCCACCAGGGCAGGGCCATTGTCCTGTCTCACTGCCCCAGCCGGCGGGTGGGGACAAGCAGGACTCAGTAGGAAGTAGAAATGGGTGTCTTTGTGCCAGCCATGGGGACACCTGCACTGCCCCATGCCCACTGCAGAACGGGCAGTGACCCTGCTGGCTCCTCCTGAGTTCCAGACCTCCCACGGTTAAGACAAGAAATTTTTCCTACCCCGATTTTCTGCAGAGCACGAGCCAAGTCCAGGGGGGATCCCGGCAGGAGCTCGGGCCCAGCAGCTGTGCCAGGCTGGGCGCTGGCATGGCTGTGCCTGCGGGAGCAGGAGCGTGGTGGCCACGAGCAGCCCAGGCAAGGCCACGCGCCCAGGGGCACAAACCACCAGCTCTGTGGGCCTCTGGGAATGATTTTTGGAACTTGCAGTCGGAATAATGATCTTTTACCAACCCACTGCAAGCACCTCAGCTGGCTGGTACAGAGGAGTTTTCCAACCACATCCACCTTTCATCTCTCTCCCTGCCTGCCAGCACCCACGGACACAGAAAATCAGATCCATCAGCCTCCTCCTCTGACATCCAGGTCTCCTGGGCCCGCCTGGTGCTGCATCGTCCTGCTCTGGGTGCTGAGGAGGTGAGAATTCAAACCAAAACACGAGACGACTCCAAGTGAAACGTAACCATATTTCCATGAACGAGTATTCCTAAATTCTCATTTCTGGGATTTAATTCTGGATCTGCATCCACGTGATCCTGCCCCTTTTGAGGCCCGGGACCATCCCTGCTCTGCTGTGATCCAGCCCTCCATCCTACGTGCTCTTTCTCTGAAGAAAGCCCCACTCACTCCATGGAATTAAACACCCAGGAGGCTTTCCCGAAATAGGCCCAGGGCTGTTATTATGCAGCTGCTTGGAAAGGTTCAGTGCAGTAATGAGACAGGGCTGACCTGTCCTGCTGATGCCACCCTCCCAGCAGCAGCAGGCTGCTTCCATCTCTCTCACCGTCTGATTTTCCTGCTAAGGAGCAGAAATCCATTGCAGCCGTCCCTGCTGTGC